TGTTCTACTCTCAGGGCCTGGAAGAGTTCTGGACAAACATGGGCGCTCCATAATATAATTCCTGAGGAATAAATTAAATTTGAACTCCCTCGCATCTGCCTGCTCCCTCCAGCACAGGGCCCTTGCCGGTGACGTTTCCTCAGCCTGAATCTCTCTCTGCAGCCCCCCACACTTTACATTTTGACACCTCCTATTCCCTTACAGATCTCAGCTCACTGGCGTTTCATTCATTTATGCAATCTGTCAGTCAGTCACTCGGTCAACAAAGAGTTGTTGGTGTGGCCATTGTTCTCGGCACTGGGGATAAAGCGTGGACAGAACAGACTTCACTACTGTCCTTATGGAGCTCATGGTCTAATGGGGGCGTAGACGTGTGTGTGTGTGGGTGTGTGTGTGTAGCCATATATTAGATCACCGTAAACACAGTGCAGCCAGCTAAAGCACAGTAGAGATTAAGAGCAGTGGTGGTTGAGATAGAGTGCTCAGGAAAGGCCTCTCTGAGGAGGTGACATTTGGGTATTCGAGTGTCACAAATGAAGCCATGCAGAATCTAGAAAGTCCTCCCCAAGCCACCCTGCCCGACTAGCTCAGACGCCCTCATACAAGTTCCCCGTGACACCACGGGCCTCCCTCACCGCACTTACCACAATTCCGATACACGTGCCTTGGTGTAATCCTTTGATTAACGTCTGTCTCCCTCCAGACTGGAATCTCCGCGAGAGGCTCTGTTTGTGTCATGTCCCCAGACACAGGGCTGGGACACAGTACATGCTCAACATTCTTTGTCAAATGACAAATAAATGGATAAACAAACGTGGGCAATCTCCCAAGAGAGTGTCCAGCAGGCTCTGGCATCCTCTGTGGCCTGTGCGGTCAATCAAAATGGCTACGTGAATTGATTCACAAAGTGTGTCTTCCCAAACTCTCCTCTCACCGCCACCACACACTGCCTGCTCCTTTCAAGGAGAGCTGCCCAGACCCAGGGTGTTGATAAAGAACTGGGGGTCCCAGGCACCCCGTGTTTGATCAGGGGGGTGGATGCCTGGAACAGCTGGAAGCAGATATCACTGGAGGGTGCATATGAACCACATGGGGACCACGGGCACGATCTACTACAGAAGAAAGATCTGGGGCTTGACAACCTCTCTTCCCGAGGCTCTGGAAGCTTGGATCGGTTTAACCCCACAACGTTTAGGGGGCTATCCTCTGGACTCACCCCCCACAATTGTACTGCATCTTCTGAGAGTTCTGCTCTCCACTCTCCAGCTCAAGACCAGATAATGCTCAAGTCTAGATCCCCATCAGATCAACTCCATACTCCTCTTTTGACATCCCCCCGTCTATCCAATCTGGCTTCTCATGGCTGCACAGTAGAAACCCTGCCCGTCAGTCAAGGATGTCCCCTTACTATCCACTACCCTTCCCGTTGACTGTCCTGACGACTGTCCTTTGGTGTGCTGTTCCCCCTCGTGGAGTGCCAGCCTTCAGCAACCCTCTGCTCAAGTCTAAGTCTATCTTTCAAGGCTCCACTTCTGCCACGGAGTTCTTCCCGGACACCTCAAGCTAAGTGGGCCTCTCCCTTCACAGAACTCCTCTGGTAGGTGGACAGAGGCTCTTGAGGAAGCAGTAGGTGCTCAGCGCGGTTTATCTGTTTGTCGTAGCTTCCCCCTTTTGGACGACCAATTGTCGAAGGGCTGAAAGTGTGTCTTATACTATTTTGCTTGGCACATCACAGTTGTTTAATAAAGACCAGATGGATGGATTGAAGGGAAACATCACTCTTGACCAGCAGCAATATTTATAGACCTGCTGTCCATGCCTCACCTTACAGGATCGAAGTGCTAGGTTTTTCTGCTTGGGAATTTTGTACAATTGAAAAATCTTTTGGAAAGAAGAACCTATCAGACAAGACAGAATTTCACTTTACCAAAATTACCAGGTAGCAGCTAAAACCAAAGGAATTCGGAAATGACAACTAAGTCGGAGTTAGCTATGAATATTGGGCTCTTATAGTCAAGCTTTAAAAAAATTGGGCTAGGTTGATAAGAAGGACTAGAACATCTTGTGATACTATGTGTAGTAGGCTGAAAAATGGCTTCCCAAGATGTCTACATCCTAATTCCTGGAATGTTCCTTTTACAGCAAAAGGGACTTTGCAAATTTGCTTGAGTTTGGGATCTTGAGATGGAAAGATTATCCCGGATTATCCACGTGGGACTGACATAATCACAAATATCCTTATAAGAGGGAGGCAGGAGATCAGAGTGACTAGTTGGAGATGTGACGAGAGAAGCAAAAAGTTGGGGTGATGCAAGGAAGGGGTCACAAGCCAAGGAATGCAGGCAGCCTCTGGAAGCTGGAAAGGGAAGGAAATGGATTCTCCCTTCAAAGCCTCCAGAGGAGCCAACCCTGCCCACACCTTGACTTATTCCAGTGAGACTGATTTTGGATCTTCTGTCTTCTAGACTATAAGAGAATAAATTTGTGTTGTTTTAAGGCCCTAAATTTATGGTAATTTGTTACCTCAGCAACAGGAAACTAATCTACCATGAAAAGGCCGTCCGTGATGAGGGGAATGCAGTCTCCTGTTAGAATGACTCTGTGTCTAAGAGTGGGCACCAGAAAGCTCTGTACTGGCAGCCATGTTCTCTGTTGCCTAGCAACCAGGCAAAGGCTGGGTATACAGGTTCAAACTAAAAGCCCCCAGGTGTCTTCCTCTGTGAAGAAGACATTTTGTGGTGAGAGCTATAAACCAAGCGCTAAAAAACAAGCAAGATGCCAGGGACTCACATCCTCCTTTTGGATATTCTGTCTAAGGATAGGCAGATTTTCATATATCAAAACAGAGACAGTCCTGGGAAAGCTAGGGTCGCTAACATAGTGCCCCAAGGAGCAGCTGACTGAATAACTGGTCAATTCAAAGGAGAAAAGAATCAATCACGTCAGCGGATTTTACTGAACTGACTTTTATTGTCTCAAATTTTATTTATCTCAATACCCCAGCAGATACTATCTCAGGATTCCCCAGGTGGAGCCCAGATCCTGGAGTTTACCACCAATTTCGAAGACCTAAAATCATCCAAAGACAAGCCAGCCTTATGTTTCTGAATCACAGAATTTCTCCAACAGTCTGTGTATAGTCTCATTAAAGACAAAAATATACAAAACATGAAGCAAAAGAGAAAAGCACAGCTTCATGTCCCATAAGCAATAAATGCTAAAAAAAAATCCAGACTTCCAAACATCCTTTCTGTCATGTTTATTTTTTTCTTATCTGTAAAATCAAAATGTACACAGTGTCTTCCCCACATAATGTCAGGGTCTCTCTGTGATAAACTGTAGTTTGATAAGAGGCAGAGAACAGAGACCTTCACTCTGAGTTTATCCTCAGCAATGAACTTTCGTTTGTGGGGCTTCAAAACAAGGCCACATTTTGGAAAAAGAAAGATACATGGTGATGTTAACTTGGTGTGCTTTAATGCAGTTTATAAAACAAATCTCCCAAACATTTATTTTTCAGTCAAGCTTCTGGCTATAGTGGGCTTAGTATAATCAACAAAATGAAAGAAACCTCCCAAACTTTGACATTGGCACTCAAAAAATAATAAAGACAAGTATTAAAACATTTCCAGTATATTTTCATTCTGAAAATGTGTTGATATAAAATTTCTAAGAATGCCACATAATTATTAGGGTTTTTTTCCTCATAGGATAATACTTAGATTCAAATAGTTGGGTTCACATAAATAAAAGGTTCTTTCTAAAAAACTGAACAATAATTATATCATTACATGGGCCTGGCAGAAGGGCAGCTTTATTCAGTTCTTGGGGCGACCTTCGCCTAGAGCACCCTTGGCTTAATTTGGATTATTGGTTTTTCCTACCCTGTCTCCCTCCCTCATGTTCACTAGAGCTCTTACATTCAGGGGTGTGCACTCCCCCCAGGTGACTTCTTTTTTTACAAGAAAACACCAGAAGAAATAGGTGAGAACGGAAAAAATGCAGTGTATTCTCCAAACCAGTGATTCTCAAACTTGAGTGCGTACAACTATATGCAAAAATGCAAAAAGTACGTGAGAATGCAAAGAATATCTTAAAAATGTAATTCTGATTCAGGTAGCTACTGAAGTATAGAAATCCTTTCTAGTCCAAAAGAACTTAATGATTCTGATTGCCCTTTTAACTGGGGGAAGGGTGAGATGTAGCCTGTCATAAGCTGGTCGCATGGGTCTCTATAAGAATCTTCTGAGTGAGACTGGGAGAAAAAGCACCACTCCACCTCCCTCCTTCCCCAGCTAACTGCCTGTGGGGAGTGGAGCTGAGCTTTGGGGTTGGGGGAGATAGCATGGTCCCAAGGCAGGGCCTCGACACAGTCCTTCTACCATCCCACTGCCAAGGCACTGGTCTCATCTTCACCCTAACCCGGTGGAAGTTTCCAGAACATTGTGAAAAGAGTTAGGGCAAAAGGAGCTGCTTTCTGAACTGTGTTCTGCACAAAAGAAGGCAATCTCCGTATGTAACTAGAGTGTTTCTAATCTCTGTAGAGAGAGGAGCTGCCTCTGTGAAAACTTTGGCCCAGAGATTCATGGGTGGGTTCAGTCCCTGTACCAAGCACAATGCTTGGACCAGCAGCCACTTGGACAGATGCTCAGAGAACTAGGAACAGGCCGGGGGAGGCCAAGGAGTGAGCTTGGACACTCCCACTCAAGGCCTTCCATTCCTTCTGCTGTTGAAGACCAGCCAGGCTGTAACCACCTGCTAACCTGCCCGTCCAGGGTAAGCCAGGCTCCAGAAGTCTCCTAAGGCGGGTCCTCTGGGAGTCTGCAGGTGTATTTGGCACTAACTGGGCACCAGCAGGCAGTGTGCTCATGGGCTTGACTTTGTTATGATTTCCATTTTTAACTCTACCGAATACCTCATGCTGTGCTGAAAGCAGGCTGAAGGGCTGAGGAGTCAGGGCACTGTCCACTCCCAGAGTTGCTCTCGAAGTAGCCACTGACCTTTGGGGTTCTCTGTCTCATAGTGGTCCTCCCCCAGAGATGTCAGGGGCTCCAGCGCAAAGAGCTCCGCATCCCATTCCATGTCTTCTCCCGAGAAGCTGCAGAGGATGTGTCTGGAGCTCCCCAGGCTGGAAGGGAGGAATGAGGCAGAGGGTTTAAGTTTGGCTTGGTCAGCTGCACAGAGAAGGGATGCTCTGATTCACCATTCAAACGGAGACCATTAGATGCTCCTCCAGCGCTGGGCCTTGGGGAGGACAGAGCAGTGTCATCATGGAGGCTATGGATGGACCTCAGCTGGGCCTCAGCCTGGCCTTGAAGGGGAAAGACAGGTGATGAGGGCTGGGTCCTGTTTTTAATATGTTCAGTACATGGTCCGTTATTACGGGAGGAAAATGCTCTTTAGAAAACCGCTTAATCCATCAGAGTTGAATGGCTCTTGCAGAAACAAAGAAAAACAGGTGGATGAGCCTAAATAGGCCCTTCTGTTGTGAAAAATGAGGTCCCTGCCACACGGCCTGGGTTGGCCAGAGCAAGAGAGCACTTACTGCTGTGAATGGGTAGGTTACAGGAATGTGGAGGCTAGAGATGGTAACTAGTCTTGGGAGAGGAGGACTTAGAGGGAGAGAGGGCAAGAGATAGTGGCAAGATGGCCATGTGGGGCCCAACCAGGAAGAAGTTCTCCATCTGAGCCTGGCCAATGCCTTTCTAAGGTAGGGGCGTCTAAATGGTTTGATCATGTTCCCTCTTGGTGCTAAGCCCACTTCGACTCCAAACTCTCATTAAAATCTGTAGCACACAGTGTGTCAGTGGCACATGAGGGAAACAACAAGAGAGGATGGCCCAAAGCGTGAGGGCTAAGTGGGCCAGAAAGAAAGGGAGGCAGATCCAGAGCTGAAGCAAGTTAGGAGTGGTGACAGCAGTGACCCAGGCTAGACTATGTGTATAGATCATAAAAAAATATTTTTTTTAACTAGGACCTCCCTCCCAAAAAATACACAAGAATAATTTTTCCATCTAGGATGGGATCTCAAGGCACCACAAGAACCACCACCAGAGTCGGAAGCACCTGAGAGCATCTTGGTTATGCTATTTGGCTCAAGCACTTACTCTTTTTTGCAGGCTTTGGGCTTAAATTTCAAGGTGTTGAATGCCCCTTCCACAGCCTTGGGCAAGTAGATGGGGTGCCTCTCGAGTCTCCTCTGAGTGCCAATGGTCCTGCGCTCCGTGCTCCTTCGAAACTGGCTGTCTGTCGTGTGCACGGTGTGCACAGCGATGTCCTCGGAGTGCCGGCGCGGCGCCCGCAGTATCCAGTTGGAGTGCAAGCTGTGCTCCCGGGAGCTGGTGGCCACTGGAAGAGAGAGGCAGGGACCAGGAGAGGAGGACTCGCCATCGCCATCGGGAGGAGCAGAAGGCAACTGAGAGGGTGAAGCAGGCTGAGAACTCACAACAAATGCATATATTTATAAGAGCAAATTCTTAGAAAGGACTGGAGAGCCAAGCAGAGGGGATGATTTGACTCTGCAGTGATGGTGTAGGGATACAATGGAATACTGTGTGTCCGTTAAAAATAAGGATGTAGATCTACGTTTACAAACTTGAAAAGATGCCCACGATGTATTGTCAATTCTTAGGTGAAAAGAACAGATGACATAACAGCACAGAGATCCTATTTTTGTTTTAAAAAATAAACTGAGTCTCTGTGTGTGTGTGTGTGTGTGTGTGTGTGTGTGTGTGTGTGTATGTTTAAAACCTTTTTGAAAGGACATACACCAAAATGTTAACAGTGATTATTATCTCTGGGTGGTGGTATTACAAGTTATATTCTTTACTTTCTTCTTTATATTTTGGTGTGTTGTTGACTACATGATTTACAATGAACATATGTTACTGTTGCTACCAGAGAAAAATCATAGTCATTTTCATTAAAAAATTATAACTGTGAAGATGACACTTGTGTCCTCAGTAGATTTTGTTGTCCTTTCACAAATGCCCTGGGTTCCCCAGGTTTGACTCCCGAGGAGAGGGCTGTTCTTTGTCAGAGGCTGAAGGGCCGTGGTGGGGAAGGAGGGCAGGCAGATTACCCTGCAGGGTACAATGAGTGGGATTAACCTTCTGTGAAACTCCACCGAACCCAATGAGAACCAGAACCTCACAGATACACGTCGATCAAGGCCAGAACAACAAGCCACAAGAATGCAATCCTTTGAGCATCATATAAACACTCAAGAATTATTTAGTATTGGTACCAAAAGCTGTTACCTCAGTAACCAGGGGCCAGTAACCCCTGAATAAAATCATCATTAATTACACCATGGAGAGCAAGTCAAAGATTAAAGAAACTGACAGTCGAGTAATGGAATTTAAAAGTGGGTTCCACTCAGGAACATGGTTGAGTTCTTGCTCTCCACCAAGAGAGAGCCAGTGATACACCTTGGCAAGGAGAGAAGCCTTGCCATCACCCTCACTTCACTCTCTCTCCAGTGATCCTGGCTGAGCCTGGGCAGGCACCCTGGCCCTTTTCTGCCCTTCACATCCTTGCAGAGTGGTGGCCCATGAAAGCCACAGAGGGAGTGCTGGAGGGAGGGGTGCAGAGGGGTGACAAAGTGGGTGATGGGTCAAGTCAAGTACAGCAGACAGTGCTACCCCAGGCCCAAGCTAGCTCAGGTAGGGTCAGAAGCTGGATATTTAAATACAGTTTGTTCCTTTTTCTTCTTTTAAGATTGCGGTAAAATAAACATAACATAAAATTTAGCATCTTAGCCATCTTTTAATGTACAGTTCAGTAGTGTTGAGTATATTCACCTTATTGAGTTACAGATCTCCAAAACTTTTTCATCTTGCAAAACTGAAACTCTGTCTATCTGTATATCCACATAACAACAACTCCCCACCTAATCCCTTTCTTTTATCGTGTCCCTCAGGGAGTCTTACAATAGTCCCACCCGGACCACAGGGAAGGAGTTTTTATCCAAATATGGCCCGAGTGTTGGAAGGGTAGTCTGGGGTCGTGGCAGCAGGGACAACTAAAGCAAGGGCCCCGAGGAGAAGAACAAGCTCAGGGCCAGGCTCCGGCTTGCAGATGTGAGTTTCCCTGTAATCAGGAGGTGGGATTCCTGATAGCCCATCTTATAAGTCCACCACAGAGACCCCAACCCACCCACCTTCTGCCACGGGGGGACGGTACTCACCATCGAAGTCCACGTCTTCATTTGGTGGGTCTGCCTCAGCAGCCCGCAGCCGTTTCTCTGTGTCCAGCTCTGCAATGACGGAGTCAAAGAAGGCAATGGCCTCTGCCACATCTGTGCTGAACTGCGAGTACTTCTTTGGGGTTGTTTTCTGCTAGAGGTGAAGGGGAGGAGAGAGAGCTGCCTGAGCCAGCCTCGGAGCGCCCTCACATAAATAAGCCATAACCACCAAAAAGGATTAAATGTTGCTGAAACTAAATGTATGTGAAGTTAGAAAGTCACAGGGTTTAAAAGGTAAATTTGAATAAGTGCCCTGTGGAAGGAAGGTAGATATTCCAGACCCACAATTGCTACAGGTCAATGGATTTCCAATTCTCTCAAGGAGGGAGAGAGGAAGGATGATAAGATCTGCCTCTTTTTTGGTCAAGGATTGTTATTGACCGTTAGGCAAAATACTTAGTCTTTCTTTGGCCTTGTTCCTGCTGATAGACACCCAATAGGGATTGTACAGTTCCTTAGGTAGGTGATGAGATGCTCACAGCAGGAAAGAAAGGACAAAATATGTTGGAAATGCTCCCTAAGAGTTGTCAGTACCTAAAGTGGCCAAATTTGCACTCAAGTCATGGAATAAATTGAAGAGGAATTAGTATGATTGTTTGAGAAATATAAGGAATAATAAAATATAGAGTTAATAAAGTCTACTGAGTGCCTAACTAGGTTCCGGGGCTCTGTCCTGACTCGTTCTCCTTCGTGACCTCATTCATCATCACCATCTTCATAAGGGCCCACAGACGGTGACTGACATGGAAGTTCAAACACCATGCTGGACTTCAATGGAGAACTCACGACGAAAGGCACAGAGTCAACATGTGAACTAATAAAAAGCTCTCTGAGGAATTTAGGAAATGAGAGAACTGAATGAGAAAACAAAAGGGGACAATATGTGTTAACCTGGGCTATTTTGACTATGTGTAGAGTTCTCTTATTCTATGTGGGCATTTTGAAAGTAGGATGGTATTAAAAAGGATTACAGACTGGCATGTTGGGAAATAAAAGGATGACATCTCTGTGTATGTACCAGATTTTGGTGAAATGTATGCATTTTATACTACTAGAAAACATTTTCAATGGAGGCTTTTTTCCTTTTATATTTGTAAGGAGCTTTCTTAGAGAAGATATTGAAGAACTACAACATACATCTGAATCTTTTCTGTTAAAAGTGGAAAACTATCCACGTGTTGTTATATCCCTCCCCCTTCAAAGAGCCCACTAAAATGAAAGCAAGGAGGGGGAAAAGTAGAAACCCTAACGACAAAGAGAACAAGAGAGGCCATCAGTGAAAGAGAGATTTCCAAAATCTTCTGGTGGTTGGAAAGCAGTTGAGGAGGAATAATTGATGTAACAGAGGGGTAATTGATGTAACTAACAGAGGGGTAATCGATATAACAGAGCAGAGGAACTGACCTCCCAGAGCATCGTGGGTGGGAGAATCAGCTGAGAACAGGGACAATTTGACACTTGGGAACTAGAAATGCTCCAGACTTGGCAACACCAAGTACACCAAGGATTGGGAATGGGATGCAGGACTGAACAACTGAGGGCCTGGTGGAAAGTCCATATGAGCACAGCAGGCCACGCCACCAGGCATCCTTCCTGCAGGCAGATGACAGGAGGGCTCATCCCTGGAGACAAGTCCAGACTCTTTTACTCTCCAAGGCTGGTCCCTCAGCCTTGAATGTCTCATCTGGTTGACTCCTCTTCATCCATCAAGACTTGGCTGGGACAGCTCCTTCTCCAGGAAGACCACCCTCTCCTGGGCTGTTTCCCTCCTCTAGACTCTGTGGTCCTTCATCCTTAACCTAATTCTATTATGATGTTTACAGCATTTTAGAGCTTTTTTTGTGAAGTGGAAGAGAGAGAAACAAAGAACAGAGAAAGCCATAAAATCTGGACGGAGCCTCCAAGGAAAGATGAATATTATCTAATAGGAATGAAGGTCCATAGGTTTTTGCATCTCAAAACCCATCTCTACATGGGGGGATGACCCTAAGTCTCTAGTAGCAACTGCCATCAGTTTCTGGCTTAATGCCAGGGTCTTGGTCTTGCTTGTGGGCATCACATTCTTCTTTGTCTGAGTTACCCAACAATTTGATCTAAGCTATTCATCCCTCAGTGTCTCTGGGAAGCAGGCTTTGGCCCTCAGCTCAGAGCAGCCTCCATCGGTTGCTTTCATTTATTAAAGGGTTTAGAAGAGAGTCAACTTTGGTGTCTTAACTATTAAAGCTAAGAAAGCAGTGAGCAGCCTACACGAGCCCTTTATACTGTGGCCTCTCGTGAATCTCCCGAATCTCCTTAATTGTTATCCCCTGAGGATAACATTTTAAAATAAAAAAATAAACCACTAGCATATATATCATCACCTTAGCCACTGAACTTGCTGTCCATAGAAGCTAGCAGACAATAGCCCTTCCAGCTGCACACTTGTTGGTTATTCCAAACAGCCAAACATGTTGTTTGTTTCCAAAACTTGAAGCTTTATGATTCAGGATTCAGGTCTCCCTCCCATACCTTTCCCTTTCTGCTATGCTTGGCAGTGACTGCCATCCCGGGCACACCCAGAGACACTCACTAGTAAGCTCCTTAGCCAACACTGAGGAGTTCATTCTTCCAGGCCCCACCTCCAGGGCCTCTACCTGGACAATCAATACATTACTATTATAAAACTTGTTTCTGTAGAAGAGCTTTTGGATCCTGGTATGGCTGGAGAGTGAGACATTGGTGACACATTGGTGACATTATTTGTGGCTGACCCATACATACCTGTGTGACCGAGTCTCATCCCAACAGAGAGCTTCCCTCGCCAACCCTATTACCTTCATCAGTTCCCCCCAAACCCTTCATGGAATGAGGTAGGGACATAAAGAAACAAAAACGAATAAACAATCGCTTTCCTTCCATACTTCGCTCAGCCTTCCTTCCCTGCAAATGAAAGCACCACCCCTTGAAGGAGTCTGAGAGCTCGGCCCGGTGGCAGGGATGGTCCACCTCTCCCTCATCCTCGTCGGGGTGATTCTGGAACAGCACTGCCCAATCCCAGCTGGACATCAGGATCTCCTGGGCTGCTCTTAAAGAATATCTATACCCGGTCCTTTCCCAGACTAGTTAACTCAGATAATCAAGTGATTCCAACACACGGCAGTTGGGAACTTCCACTCTACAGGGACCCAGGCATGGGGGAGGCAGCAACGGCACCCATGAATCCCCACCTCAGGGTCCGGTTTAGGATGCAAATCCTAATAACCAGTCTTATTCCCTGGCTTTGCAAGAACAGACGGGATTGGAAGCCAAGGACACATGGGGCAGGACCCAGGAGGACAGGACTCAGGTCACTGAAGAAAGAGGACGAGAGCTCCTGGACTTCGGGGCCCAGACTCCTTGTGTCCTTCCTGTTCCTCGGCTTGCAGAGAGGCCAGGGACAGGACCCCATCCCTCCTCTGTGCCTCTCTCCTTACCAGCTTGGGGCTATGAGAGCATTCCGCCCACAGGGGTGCACCCAACATCTGTCTTTCCCTCCCAGCCCCCAAACTCGACCTAAATCACCTGCTGGGGGGCACTCCCTCTGCTTGTGTTCATGTGGCTTTGTTTGCTTCCTGGGTTTAATGTTTGGCATTCATCTCTGCTAGACTTCACTCTGGTTAGACACCAAGTTTTTTGTTTATCTCACCATCATTTCTTTTTGAAAATATAAGTAAATGTATATTTATATTTGTATTTACTCACTTTTTTAAAAAACAAAAGGTAGCATACAATATCCACCTGTGAACATTGTTTTCTTCACTCACTGTGTCCTAGGATTACTTCCTAGTAGGGAATACGGATCCTCCACATCCCTGGTCTTAGCTGCAGAGCTCTCCACTGTACAGATGCTGTAGAAACAAACTATAGCCCCCTTGTGAAATCTTTAGGTTGCTGTAATCTTTTGCTATTACAATTAGTGCTTACACATATGTCATTTTGCATTTTCCCAATAATACCCTAGTTTGGATTAGGCTTCTAATTTTAAGGATTCAGCTTGCTATGCATATGTTTTACAGAGAGAATGGTAAGCATCAAGTGATCTGGCAAGTCAGTTAAGCAGGATTTGTTAACAGAGCTTCTATTGTACTTTACAAAGTACACTTTTAAATATCTCCAAATGAATTTTGTGATGATTTCTCCGAGTACCTAGGCTAAGCCACAAGTCCAGGCTCCCTGGGCCTTTTCAGGTCCTAGTTTAAACCCAGGCTGATTCTAGCTTTTTCTGCCTTCCCACAGCTTCTATGGGCCTTTCTCATCTCTACTACGACATTCTCTTGGTCTCCAGCAGAGACCACTAGCACAAGAGCTGCATTGACTGAGGCTCAGCGTTCCAGGCTCAGGCTAACATCACAGAAAATCTATTTCACAAAGAGGAGGTTGAACAAAATGGGACATTAGGCATCAGCACCTCTGGGTAAGATCCGAAATATTATTCCCCCTCTGGACTCAGAACTCCAGGCAAAAGTGGATTGTTTCCCTCCCAATCTTGACTTGTTTCTACCCCAGAACTTTTTAACTAATCTTCGGAAAGGCTGCATGTAATGCAGCCTGCTTCCTGCTGCACCTGGTCAGGCCTGAGGTTCACACGGCTCATGTTCCTTTGCCATCAACCTCACAGCAGCCCCAGGGAGAAGGAACTTTCTCTGAAAGCATCTGTATTGCATCGCCGACTCCACTCCAGTTTGGCTTTCAGATTTAACCTTCAATGGCCCTAGGGTTATCATTTTCCAAGCCTCCCTGTCCTATCCCCTCAGACCAGGCCTGGGTCTCAGATTACTCCTCCCAGATGGAAGAACCCTTTGCGTTTTTCCAAACCAAACTCCATCATAGTTCCAATTTTAATTTCTGAGTCCCTCAAGGCAGTTTATGATATTTTGCTGCATTTCCTATCAGCTGCCATCCTGCCTGACTTCACCTGCCCTCTGGGTACCCAGGCTGCCTCCTTCTCCAATTTGTTCATTTTCCTCTGGACTCTGTCAGTATTTGTCTGCAAGGGATCTGGAGTCCACAAATTGAACTTCCAGTTGTAAATAGCAATGTTTTGTCAGAGGTTAGGGTAGGAGGACATTTTAAACC